ACTTCTCCCGTATGCAACTTCCCATTGATCTTGCCAAGGACCAGGAGGTCATTGTCGGCAAGGTTCTCAACCTTCTCAGTGCATGTGTTGATGTTCTCTCATCTGAGGGTCACTTGAACGCGATGAATGCCATGGAGATGTCACAGATGGTGGTCCAAGCCATGTGGGATCGGGATAGCCCTCATAAGCAGATTCCTCACTTTGGCCCCGAAGCCATCAAGGTGGCCAACGAATACAACATTAATGACATTTTCGAATTCATGGAAGCAATGGATCCATCCGAGAACAAGGACTACCCCACGTTGGTCAAGAGACTTGGTCTCGATAACTCACAGTTGGCTCAAGCTGCCGCATTCACGAACGAGAAGTATCCCAACCTTGACCTTGACTTCCAGGTGGAGGATCCGGAGAACATTACATCCGGCGAGCCGGCGTATCTCAAGATCAAGATTGAACGGGAAGTCGAAGAGGACGAGGAGCCTGACACCACTGTACACGCACCGTTCTACCCCGGCAAGAAGATGGAGAATTGGTGGTTGGTGGTGGGAGACGAGAAGACGAAGAATTTGCTTGCCATCAAGCGAGTTACCATCGGCCGCAAATTGGACTTGCGCCTGGAGTACATTGTGCCCACGCCTGGTGAGCATGAGTTGACGCTGTACCTAATGTGCGACAGCTATGTGGGCGTCGACCAGGCTCCCACGTTTACCGTGACGGCAGCTGAAGGCATGGAAGAGGATGAGAGCGAGGAGGAAGAGGAGTAAAGGGGGGGTGTTTTTTTTTAAAGAAAAATCTGTTGGCACCTAGATCCGTCTGTTAATTTGTCTTTTTTTTTGTATTTATACGGCCAATCTACGTGGAAGCAATGAGATAAGATGTTAGATTCAAGACATCAGATCAGTTCGTGGAGTAGACTTAGTTTATTCAAGGTCGATCTTCTCCTCACGCGATAAGGCAGCTCTCTCCACTTTCTCCAACCTCCTCTCTTCTCCTCCCCCTTCCATCTCCTCCGCAACCCCTCCTGATCTGATTACCATCCATCGTTGTCTGATCTCGCAGTTTGCCATATATACGGTATAATAATAATAATTCATTTATCTACAAGTTACACAATTGTCTGTTCAATCCAATCGCATTGTCTTCACTCTTCCCCTCAACTCTTGGCGCAGATCTTATCAAGACAGCTCTTATCACTGGGGAACGGACATGACCATCCGATCAATGAAGTTCACTCCAGAGTAAGTAGATCAGATTCGTCTCCTCCTAGAGTTTGTGAAGATCTGGAACCAGAAAAAGGCATACCTCACCGCAATTCAGATCGCTGACTTGAATTAGGGTCCTACTGGGAGCTCCCCGCCGCTCTGGGCCCATCCCCAACTCTTCAGGGACACTTGCGGTCTACACACAGACATCCTACTCCTTCGACTCTCATTCCAAGACCAATGAGATCCGTGTACTAGACATCGCCACCGGCCGATCGGCCCTCATCACGAACGATCCCGGCGCCAGCAGCCCACAGTGGCTGGATAACAGCGACCAGCTGGTCTGGCTGAAGACAAAGGCAAATGGCAACACCAGCTTCATAGTCGGAGACGCGCGGGAAGTCGACAAGACCTACACTGCGGGTACTGTTCCCGGTCCCGTGTCGGACCTCAAGGTGACTGTTGTCGAACCGGGCAAAATTGGGTTTGCGGTGGCCGGGAAAGCCAACCCGGATGGGTCATTGTACAACCCACACGACGCCAAAAAGCCTCTCAGTTCAGGGAGGCTGTACACGTCCCTGTTTGTCCGACACTGGGACACGTGGATTGAGCCACAGCGCAACGCCATTTGGTATGGCTTGCTGCAGCGTGCACCCCTGTCTCCTGCTACTCGGCAGGCGGGCAGATATTCCGTCTCTGGGCTGACGAACCTGATCTCAATTTGTGGGCTGACTGGGGTTGAGTCGCCTATCCCGCCTTTTGGCGGCTCGGGCGATTTCGACATCAGCCCGTCAGCAATCGTGTTTGTTGCGAAGGATCCTAATCTTAACCCCGCGACACACACTTCCTGCTCTTGCTACTACTGTCCGATGTTCTCATGGACCGGTGTCGGCGCTCTGGAAGCCAAGGTGTGCACGGTCAAGGGTCTCGAGGGTGCTATGTCATCCCCTGTCCTTTCGTCTGATGGCAGCTCGATTGCTCTCCTCGCGATGCGTGAGGATGGCTACGAGTCGGACAAGAACAGAATCCTATATGTTCCAAACCCTTGGAGTGGTGAGATGATTGAAATATTTGCCTCTGCCGATGGCAAGGGGCAGTGGGATCTCAGCCCGTCGGGATTGACGTTTGCTAAGGATGATCAGTCATTATTCGTTCAGGTCGAGGAGCTGGGCCGTGGCGTTTTGTATCAACTTCCGCTCGACAATGTCCGCCATAGTACACCTGATGCGTTGAAGAAGCTCACGCATTCTGGTTATGTTACGGATGTTTTTCCTTTGGGGGCGAATTCATCAAATCTGTTGATCGCCAGCAACAATTTGGTAGACAATAGCTTGTGGACCATCATTGACACCCAAGACACATCCAAGGTCAGGGTCGTCTCATCTATTGGCCGTGGAGGCGCCGCCTTTGGTCTTTCACCCACACAGGTGGATGAGATTTGGTTCAAAGGTGCAGAGGATCACCCCGTCCATGCGTGGGTGGTTAAACCGTCCAATTTCAAGCCTGGCGACAAGTATCCGCTCGCTTATCTGATTCATGGAGGGCCCCAGGGCGCATGGAATGATCAATGGAGCACTCGATGGAATCCTGCCGTGTTTGCTGAGCAGGGTTACGTCGTCATTACGCCCAATCCGCGAGGTAGCACCGGGTACGGGCAACCATTTACGGACGCGATCCGTGGTTCTTGGGGAGGCCTACCTTACATCGATATCGAAAAGGGCTTTGACTATATCGAGGAGAATCTGGATTACGTTGACACCACAAGAGCCGTTGCACTTGGAGCGTCTTATGGTGGTTATATGATGAACTGGATCCAGGGCCATCCTCTCGGCCGCCGATTCAAGGCGCTCGTCACTCACGATGGTGTCTTCAGCATGACCTCTCAGCTTGCCAGTGAGGAACAATACTTCCCGCTCCATGATCTGGGAGGCCCGATCTGGAAGGTCCCGGAGAACTGGGAGAAGTGGGATCCGTCTCGATTCACGGAGCATTGGCAGACACCGCATCTGATCATCCACAATGAGCTCGACTATCGTTTGACAATTGCCGAGGGACTTGCAGCGTTCAACGTCCTGCAGATGAGGGGGATCGAGAGCGCATTCCTGACCTTCCCAGACGAGAACCACTGGGTGCTGAATCCGGAGAACTCCCTCGTATGGCACCGGACCGTTTTCAACTGGATCAACAAGTATGTCGGCTTGCCTCCAGTGACTGATGAGAAGGGCGACGCCTTTAACTCGAAGAAGACACCGTTGGAGAAGCGTGTAGCTGGTCTATCCATTTCGTAGTCTGAAGTCTCTGTAACGACTCTGCATGTGCGTCTTGGGTGTACACAATGACAATGACCTTTTGGTATCTTTAAATTTGAGTTTCAGTTTCATGATCTTTGTTGATTACTCTCAATGGATGTTTCATTACATTGTTGGATGATCTTATTGTTTGATTTGTCGTTTTCTAAGACGAGACCGAGAAAGCCTTCGAGACAAAGGGGGAGAGAGTACAATCGCCGAGTGCTGGTTCGTTGGCGTCAACAAAGAATTCCTATTCTTGTCGTGGCTTTTCTTCATCGTAAGCCTTTGTCACGTACAACAGCTGTCTCGCGGTTCCTGATGAAGTATATAAGCGACGATTGCCTACTCTCATCTCTATGACCTCTCTGCTACAATCCAAGTGCTTTCATTTGAGCAATCTACTCCCACGCAGGAACCGAAAACAACCAAAGTCTATCTCTCGCTTTCACCAGAAACTAATTCTTCCATACTCAAAATGCAGGGCAGCAACAATCCCTCCCTTCCCCGTATCGTGATAGACCCCTCGTCACCTCAATCCCCCAGTATCTCCTGTGCATTCTCACCATCAACACCCACAAACTCGACCTCGAGCCGATCAACACCAAAGCCATTGCAGCCACCATCACAAGCCGAATCAAGAGCAGGAAGACGACCCAGCAAGGTCCATCCATCCTTCCAGCCCATCCTCCGCCATCTACGCACCCGGCTCTGCTTCCTCGTCTCCAGCACCACGGGGCAGCAGCATCCCGAATTCCCCAAGACCCTCCTCGCCTACCACCTGCTCACCAATCGGCAACTGGACGATCTAGCCCGTCACTTCCACCAGGTATGGCCCCCGGTGGAAGCCACAAGGGCATACCCCGTGTCGATCCCCGCGTGGATCGGCACACAGGGCGAGAAAAGCGTCGACCTACAGACGAAGCGGCGTCGGTTCGGTCGCTTTATTGGGCTGAGGGGGTGCGAGTCGCCTACTGTTAGCGAGCATGGAGAGGACGAAACAGAGGAGCTTTTGGCGAGGATGGAGTGGGAGTGGGAGCAGGGTCTTTTACAGGCGCAGCGGGATGATCCTGATGCTATTTTGCGGTGGAAGGCATGGGGGCGTTGATTCTCCTTTTGGAGTGCACGTCTTTGTTCGTCTTTGTCTTTGTTGGTTCTGCGGAGTTTGTGGTGGTGCCACTTGCATATTCAGCCTTGGTAGACGCGGAGTATATTTCAGCTAAATGCATACTAGAATGTCGTTGGATAGGGAGTTAGGGACTACATTTCAACATTGCATTAATTCAATCTACGGGTATTATCTGATTAAAGGCATCTCGAATCTAATCCCCGTTTAGCCTGATGGAGTAGTGGGGTAATTTCTTGGGGTCTATTGTTTAGCCTGAGTCGGATAAAACCGAAGCACTGGAGATGGTATAAGAATCCAAATCCAACGGCACATTCGATATCAGGATGCTCACGGAAATAACTTCACTTCTCTACTCGTTAGGCTAGACCGCTGAAGAGAAAAATGGCCAGCGAACCCCTCATCAAACACATCTACACCGCGGACCCCTCCGCCCACGTCTTCAACAGCAAACTATACATCTACCCCTCGCACGACCGCGAGACAGACATCCAGTTCAACGACAATGGCGACCAGTACGACATGAACGACTATCACGTCTTCTCGATGGAGACCGTCGGCGGCCCCGTCACCGACCACGGCGTCGTCCTCAAGGACTCCGATATCCCCTGGGTCTCCAAGCAGCTGTGGGCCCCCGACGCCGCAACCAAGAACGGCAAGTACTACCTGTACTTCCCTGCGCGCGACCGCGAGGGCATCTTCCGCATTGGCGTCGCGGTGGGCGACAAGCCCGAGGGCCCGTTCGCGCCGCAGCCGAATCCCATCCGCGGCAGCTACAGCATTGACCCGGCGGCGTTTGTCGACGACGACGGGCAGGCGTATCTGTACTTTGGCGGGATCTGGGGCGGGCAGTTGCAGTGCTGGTGCCGCTCGGAGACGGGGGAATGGGAGTTTGATGCGTCGAAGACGGGCCCGCAGGAGCCCAGCGGGGAGGGGGTGAAGGCGCTGTATCCGCGGGTGGCGCGGCTGAAGGAGGATATGCTTGAGTTTGAGGGGGAGATTCAAGAGCTGGAGATTGTGGATGAGGAGGGGAGGCCGCTGGCGGCGGATGACCATGAGCGGCGGTTCTTCGAGGCGGCGTGGATGCACAAGTATAACGGCAAGTATTACTTCTCGTGGTCGACGGGCGATACGCATTACCTGGTGTATGCGACGGGGGATAGTCCGCTGGGGCCGTTCACGTACCGCGGCCGGATCCTGGAGCCGGTGCTTGGGTGGACGACGCATCATTCTATTGCGGAGTTCCAGGGGAAGTGGTATCTTTTCTATCATGACTGTTCGCTGTCCGGAGGGGTGGATCATTTGCGGAGTGTGAAGACGCGGGAGATTGTTTATGATGCGGAGGGGAATATCAAGCTGGCTGAATGAGCGCTTGTTGCAGATGTATAGCTATTTGCATGGTCTGAGATATGTATATATCATGAAGTATGTCGTTTATATCGTTCTGTCTCGTTCCCCGTAACAGCCTTCTTCATACGTCACAATCGTCAATGTCCCATTCCCTTGGCTTGATTCTCCCTGACAATGCTCCAGTACTTGTCGCGACTGCGAGCTCGGAATGTCTTTCCCCATTTGACCATCACCAGGAACACGGCAGATATGGCCATGCCAATGAAGGCCGCGGACACAAAGCAGCTCTGGTATCCCAGGTCTTCAAGCCAGGGCGTAATACTATTTTAGTAAAGTCATCGTCAGCACACGCATTCAAGTCCCTTGGGCCGTAACCTACGCGTAGCCCATGGCAAACGACATTGTGTTGCGAACCAAGATCACACTAGCCATCGCATCGCCACTCAGCTCCCTGTAGCTGTCGACGAGATAGTTGACACTCAGAGCGATTCCGCAGGTATTGGCGAGCGCAAGAAGGCACATTGCAACTAGAAGTCCGAACCAGTGGACCTCGTGGGCTGCACCAACACCCCAGAGGAGTAAGGACCCAGGGACAAGAATCAAACATGCAAGAAAGGGCCAGAGGCGCAGCTCGGCTTCCATCACTCCGCCGTTCCGTCGAGCTAGTTTGATAGTAAGCCAGTCACTGAATCTTCCGGTGAATAGAGACCTAGACAGAGGTTAGTAGGGTCTGCATGTTGATTGCTCGCTAGCCATAAGACCAACTCACCCGCCAATGACGCCTAGGCAGCATGCGAGATAGCTCAGACCGACCATTGAGGAACTGCCATACTTAGTCGGACGCATGCTAGGATGTTTTCTGAGCTGTCCTACCTGAAATTATACGGTGCTGACCCCAGAATAAGAGACGAAGTGGCATTCAACACGTTGAACCAAATCAGATAGGAGCCATACGAAAACCTGTCCCGTCAGTCTCCAATGTTTCAGATGAAGATAAGAAACGGGTTGACGTACCCAGCATAGAAGATAACCGGCCAGCTCAGGTAATACAACGTTTGGTAGAACCTCCTAAACATGTTGTTCCTGGGTTGTCGAGGTCCAATGATTGACAGCTTCTGAAAGTAGGTTTTCTTGCTGTAGATGACTCCACACTCTGTTTCGTCCGGTTGTGCAGTGGAAGGTAGAGCCTTTTCCTGGTGACCTTGCTCGGAGGGGGTCGTTGACGACTGTAGCACACCCTCGACGGTGGCTGTCTCGGCATGTTTCCGTGCGTAGTTTGTCTCCTCCATGAAGAAAAAGAGGAATGCGATAGTCACAGCGCAGAATATGGCGGGCCAGTAGAAAACCCATTGCCATCCCTGATATTGGGCAATGAAGCCGCATATGACCGGCGCAAAGTAGTTGCTCCCCGCCAAAAAGAGGGCGTACAGACCCATATACGTCCCTCGTTCATGGGTAAAGTACTAGATTTCATCAATATGCGGAATACGCTTTTGAGCCCCAAGTACTCACCACATCCGTGACCGTCACTTCTGGAAGGGCTTCAATTGGAGCAACGAAGAAGCCTGACAAAATGCTGCGGCCAATCCACTCGCCGTTTGAACGAACATAAGGACTGTGGGCGAGTCTCGGCATTAGCAATTGGAGTCCACGGTGAAGGATCAGGATAGCGTACCCCCATATCAAGGTAGCCTATTGCAAAGACTGTCAGTTTCTCGACCTTGGCAACGGTACAATTACTTTGCAGACTCACCAATGTTCCAACCAATGAGAGAATGTAGGTCAACCGTTTACCGTACTGCAATGCGAATGGTTGCCAGAAGAGAAGGCCCCAGCCTGCGAGCAAGAACATATATCCGGTTCCCTGATTGAGAGTATCCACCGCAACACCGGTCTCTTCAGAGAGCTGAACCAGCACCGAATAAACAACCGAGGTTGAGATGCCTGCAAACAAGGTGTACCTGCACGACAAGGAGCAGATTAGCTGTTTGATAAAGAACTCTAGATCAAACCAACCTCTCCAGTTGACTCACACGCTCACACAGATCGTAGATAGTAGCTTGCGCCGTGGTGACCAATTCAAGGGATCATCAGGGTCATCGGAGGGTTTAGGCACGAGCACGATATCTCTGTCTCCCCTATCAAGGTGACGAGTGGCCAAGACACCATCCACGTCCACCAGAGTGAACGTGCCAGGGACGGCGGCGCTGTCCACACGAGGCGCCATGACGAGGCAAAATTGATTGCAGAAGGTCAAAATGCTGTCCGTACACTGCAATAATGCTGTTTACATGTCCTTGGATGTTCCAAATGTATACACACCTCTCGTCAGCGCGATGGGTTTGCAATTGGACTGCAGATCGGAGATAAGCCTCTGCAGAATGTATCAATCACACACACAGGAACAGGCTGCTTCTACAAGCTTTAATCTCGAAGACAACTCGAGCGTACGGAGTTGAAAGGAAGTACGAGTACTCGTTATCTCCTCCTCTCGAGGATACACCAAAACGCGATATGGCGGAGATGCACATTCCCGATAGTTATCAGGTGCAAGGGCAGCGTCCCAAATGTACCACAACGCACAATAGCCGATAAGCCGGCTCGGAAGCATTCCGCTATCATGGGACTGGGTGATGATGCATGGATGCATCGAGCTCAGATACCAGGGAGGCCCGCTTGATCGTTTATCGGGGCTCTCTCCACGAGGAGACATGATCTACAGAAGCATGAGACGAGGGAAGCAGGTTCCTGGATCAGTGACTCCACCGGTACAAAGAGGCCAATACTTTGGAAGCGGAATTTTCTCCTCTCTTGACGGCACTCTGTCTAGAGAGAAAGGAACAAGGATGATTGATGGGTTACTGGTGCGGTTCATTGGACAGTCTCAATGCAATGGCCGTCGAGCTAAGCAAGGAGCTAGCCAGCGCCACTGGGGTAGTTGCTTGCTTATCACCGTAGCTTGACAATGACAGCAGTAGATGTTCTCCTCTCCTTCTCTTCCGCGTCGTTGGATGGGCTCGCCGATAGATACCGTATGGGATGAGATGAAACTAATCTTTTTGAGTGGTCGATAGATTCGTGGTCAAGTTGGAGAAACTGGGTTCCCCCGCACATAAGACAGACACCTCTCAGCAATTAGTCTCATTGGACATCTCCATGAATACATGGTTCTATTATCTGGTCATTAGAGATGGCTTTACCTATCGCTGCAAAGCTATACTCATCTAGGAACAATCATATCTACTTTCCTACACATAAGTAGACAGACAACCTGGTCAACACTACCTAGAGACGCTTAAACTCTTGCCCTACCATCTGCTCACTCCGTGTCCACAACGCTCGACCGTTCTCCTCACCAGCAGGAAAGTCAATTTTCGGCAGAGCGAGAATTTGGCAATTGTCTAGGTATGCACCGGAATGTTCTATTCCCGAGACATATCCATTAGCACGATAGCCTCCGGCTTGACACATTATATCTTACACAACCATAAGAGAGGATCCCACTCACCACTGATATCCGGATCGAGAAGAGCTCTGAGAATCGTGGCAATCCCCTGCGACACTGACTTTGGCGCTTGTTGAAGCAGAAGCGGTAGATCTTCCCCCTCTTCAAACAGGGCTGACCGTTAGGAACTCATCAACTGCAGGGAGTCATCTAGTTCTGGCACGCACGCTCTTTCTTCCTTTGGAGCCATGAAGCTACTTGCTCTGGCGAAGCAACGGTCTGAAGGCTTGGTTTGGTGTCCGAAGGATGTTCAGCTTAGGCCAAAGATGGAGGATGATGAGGTTGCAAACTCACTTCCAGCATTGACAGAAAAGGTCCCCATTGACCGTCCACAGCCTGTGATAGCCAGACACTTGATCATCTGAACGTTGGCAAACATCGATAGGGCATATGCATCCAATGGATGATATGTCTTTCCATCCTGCAGAACCGACAGAAACTCCGGTGATTACCTTTTGTATCCTAATTTATATCAGAGCAAAACACTTACTGCGAAATTGGGGTCATCCCAGGCCGGCGGCGGAGCTTCCGGCCGGATACTAGAGCAAACCATGACCACTCTTGAACCTGCCGGCATCAAGTGCACCACCAAATTGATCAGGAGGAAATTGCTGAGATAGTTGCACTGGAAGTGAGACTCGATTCCATCCTCCGTCTTCATCCACAGTGCAGCCATTACCGTGGGAAACCCCACAAACCCATCAATAGGAACCTCAAGCTTCTTAATAGCTTCTGCCGCCTCGCGCACAGATTCCAACCGGCCAAAATCTACCGAGATGAAGATCAGCTTGACCTTGGGATGTTTGTGGTTGATATCGTCGATCATCGCTTGCGCTTCGGCCTGCGACTTGCCCATCAGGATAATGGCGGCTGCATCGCCGCTTGCCAGGGCCTCGGCGGTTGCTGCTGGTAGTCCTGTCCCACTGACTCCGGTCAAGAGGACTTTTCATAAAACACGATTTAGCTTACGATCGCAGTCTTTGAAAGGGCTTGAAATCTTTGGCCTACATGTTCGTTTCTTGATGCTCATGGGAAAGGCATTGACCACATCGGCACCTTTGGTCTCGGATCCCCACTCAATGGCCATGTTTGCGACTGTTGATCAAGAGCTCACCAGGTCTGTACAGCTTGGTAGCATTAAGAAGCCTCACTTGTGGCAGGCTGTCTGATCGTATGAGGCTTTTGATTTTCGTCATCGTGAGTCCGTCCCCATTACGTATGGAAGACGTCCTAAGCATTCGAGACGCCCCATTACCTATTCGGTCCGGTGAATTGTTACCAAGGTCACGTAAGTGTGAACGTCCAATCACCAGTAGTATCAGGAAGAGAGTCGCTATCACGGCAGTACGAAAAAGGGAAGACTCAGTCGAGGGTTTGTCATCGACCGGATGCCTTTGTGGAGAGAGAAAAGTATAATTGAAAAACAAATTTCACAAGAGATGGTGGACATTATGGAGATATCCGGGGAATATGTTGAGCACTCGGCTCATACTTTACATATACACAATCCGCACATAATGGCCCCGTCAAGACAAGGCGTTGGTCGCAGGAACGCGAAAAGGAAGACAGGTGACGGTCTCTCGATATAGAGAAAGGAAAAGTCACTACTGATAGAATAATCCCGTTTAAGCTGACCCTGAAGCGATACCATCGTCATCCGAAAGATCCTTGATCACGTCCTTTATGATCTGAATGAGCTCATCGATGTCAGGGCGGTCAGCAGGCTCAACCTGCAAACACTTCCGCACTACCTCTTTCACTGGCTCGCTGATGGTTGCGGTGTTGTCTTTACCCGCATCCTCAGCTCCAGCTCGGCCTTTACCCTTGGTAGCCCCGGGCTTCTCATCTGGGAATCGCCAGTCCCCGCCCAATACACACATACTGAGGCTACCGCCGGTCTCCTCGCTTCTGGCCTCAAAGGGGCTTTTCCCTACAAGGCAGGCGTACAATGTGCATCCCAAGGACCAGATATCAACCTTGGTGTCAATGATTGACCCGGTCTTGACGTCGAATAGCTCAGGCGCTCGGTATGGCATGGTACTGTGCTCGGCAGCAGTATCTTGGACGGCCAGAGCTAGTGAACGGGAGGTGATAGCAATCGGGCTGGGCGCTAGGGAGCCGAGATCCATGAGGATCGGAGTCTGACCGTCATCATCGATCATGATATTGCCTGTCACAAGTCAGTCACCCTGCGCATAGAATTGCAGACGCACCAACTCACCAGGCTTGATGTCCCTATGTGCATAAGGGCGGAGTTCTCCCTCCTGAACTCCCTCCTGGCTTATGGTAACCTCGTCATCCATCAACGGCTCGTTCTCTGAATCTTCTTCGTCTACTCGCTGGCTTGCTCGACGCTTCGGTTTGCCCATTTGCATTGATAATGCTGCGTCCGCCTCCTCGCCCTCGCGTCGGACCGCTTTGGCTCTGCGCGTAGAACCAGCGCCGCTCTTCACCCGATACTGGTGCATTGCTTTAAGCGCGTTGGCGACACCGAGCATAAGCACCATTAGCCTCTTCTCGGGAAAGCGAGTATGGTTCACGAGATTCGCATTGATCGCATCTTGAAGATTCCCGCGTTGGTAGTAAGGAAGCAGGATGTAGACGGTTTTCGATCCTGGTTCGCCGCCATCGGAACGAAACTTCGAGCCCGGCTCCGTAGATACGCAATGGTCTATCGAATGGATGATGTTCGGTTGTGATGTGAATAGGTTGTAGGCCTCGACCTCTTTCAAAGCTTGTGATACAGATTCTTGGCCGAATGGACACCGGATCTTCTTCAAGGCGAAGAGCTCTGATGTCGCCTTATCTTGGACGAGGTAAACGTAGGAAAATCCACCCTAGTATAGTCGGCGTTGTCAGTTGAGGGGGTATAACAACGAAACAACATGGTCTGGAGTTCTGATTGACTTACTTCACCAAGAAGCCGTAATAATTTGAAGCTGCGATTGTTGATTTTCAACTGCGGCGTGCTCGGAAAGCAGCACATGCAATCCGTAAAGTTGTAGAGCAGATCGAAGAAATATTGAGCCATCTTGCGCGACGAATTAGGGAAGCTGTCGCGACCGACTCTATATCAGAATAAGATTATGATCGATTGTTTTTTGGTGATCTCCCCAGCTCATCAATCTGCAGTTGTCGTACAAGTGCTTCCGCAGAATGGTCGACTTGCGCGGTCCCACTGTCCCGCTGTGGAGCAATCACGTAGTTCGAGCCAGTGAATAGAAGTTGCGAAGCGAGATTGGACGATATTCAAGGACAAGTGGCCTCGAGGCTGGAGCGGGAGCAAGGATAAGGAACGCGAGGAGAGAGTCGTGGGAGATGAAGGTGCCAGGTGGACGAATGGACAATCGGACGAACCGGAGAGATGTTAATCAGGAGAACTGCAAGGCAGTAGTTAATTGCTAGCGTCGGGGAATGATTACTGCTGTACAGAGTAGCGTCTCCTATGTCTCAGTCGAGCATGTGTCGCAGTAAGGTTGGAATGGAGAGGTGATGAATGTCTCATCGACAATAGGATATCTTCAGAAATTAAAGGGAACATCTGCCTTACAGCCGTGGAGTTCGTCGGATTACGCATGGGCACTGTGGAGCAGCTGATAATAATAATAATAACACTACTACGAGTACCGAGCACTTAACCCATGGTTCGTGTCTCTGTTGTTTGTTATCAGTATCATGATCATCACAATGGCTATTTTAGTATTCCGTAGAGGATGTTGATACATAACAGGGGAAGCATCATGATCAGACAGACTATTACTGCAATTGTTGGTGATCGATGATCTCTCGACGTCAATCCTCCGTCTCATAAGTATGCCTATCCACTACATGCCTAAAACGCCATTCGTCGTGCCCTTTTTGCCAATTAGATCCCGTTCTTTTCATTCTTCTTCTTCGGGCTTCTTCTCTGCCCAACTGGGTAAATAAAAATAAGAAAAAGAAACGCCCCCGTCAACCCCCTTAAACAGTGAACAGTCCATCGTTGGTTGACAGAAAAGCCATGAGAACTTATCTGCTCCTATCAATCAATGACCAGTCAATGATCTAAAGTGCAGGAGCTCCACTTGTGTCTGTTCATCCTTGTACCGCATCATCCCTTTCATGCCGCTCTTTTCTTTCCCCCCCTCCTGACTTGTGTCCTTTGTGTGAATTTTTGGACCCTTCACCTTTTCGCTCTGGTCGCGTTCGTCACTTGGAGAACTTTGAGGACGCTCTCTCTCAAATCTCGAACTCCATCCCCATGGCGCCTCTCGATGAGATCCAGGTCGGCGATGTTGTGAATGTTCCCGGGGGCATGTATGGGACGGTCCGCTACCTGGGCAGCGTTGCCGGAAAACCAGGCAAGTTCGCTGGGATCGAACTGGCTCCGGAGCATGCCAAGAGAGGGAAGAACAATGGAGATGTGGAAGGGAGAAAGTATTTCAAGACCACTGTCCCTGGTTCCGGCATCTTTGTTCCCATGAACAACAATCGCTACGTCACGAAGCGATCTTCCACATCCGCCCCTACCGCGAGCACCGCCCCTCCGACGCCTTCGCGACCGATCAATTTCAGCAAATCCGTCGGACCTAGTCCTGCAGTGCCTCGTCCGCGTGTAAGACGACCCTCTCTACCTCGCCCTGAATCGCCTCGTGGTCCGCCTCCCTCCAAGCTTAGCCTTGCCGGTCTTCGTACTCCATCCACCGCTTCTCGAACAGGGCCGAGTCCCAATGGCTATCCTCGAAGTCCGGTTAAAGCTCCGTCTCGCGCATCGGATAGGGCTCCCTCCCGCTTGAGCGTGGACGATGACATGTCCTCGGTTAGGACTTCCGACTTCCATCGCAGCTCGATGGCGTCGGAGGTACAGGAATTGAAAGATCAGATTAAGAGCCTGGAAAAGCAGCTACTGGACCGCGATAAGCAGTTGGAGGAACAGGCTAATACACTGGCGGAATTTTACAGGACGATTGAGGACCTGGAAGGTTCGGATGCCCTGTCCATCAGGGCCCAGCTGCGCGAGAAGAATGAGAGGATTGCTCAGTTGACAGCAGAATTCGATCTCCATCGAGCCGACTTCAGAAGCACCCTTGATACGCTGGAAATTGCTGCGTCCGAGACCGAGCGGGTCTACGAGCAGCGCCTGGACGAGCTCATGCAACAGAATAAAGAGCTACAAGACCGCGGTGAGGACGTCGAGGCCGTTGCGAGGCAGCTGAAGCAGCTGGAAGAGCTGGTTTCGGAGCTGGAAGAGGGCCTGGAAGACGCAAGACGTGGCGAGGCGGAAGCTCGGGCTGAGGTTGAGTTTCTAAGAGGAGAGGTTGAAAGGACAAAGCTTGAGCTGAAAAAAGAGCGGGAACATTCCACCGCTATGTTGAGGGATGTCCATTCAGGCGGAGAAGGAGGCCGGCAGTACTTGAAGGAACTAGATCAGAAAGACGACGAGATTCGCGGCCTCAAAGCCATCATCCATTCACTGAGCAGGGGTGATCCGAACTTCCCTGGCCTGCAGAATGGGCTTGCAAGTACTCGACAGGACCATGAGTCCGAACAAATCGCTCGTCTAGAACAGCGTATTCAGGAATTTGAGCACGCAACCGAGAGCAAGGACTATCGCATCGAGGAGCTTGAGCGAGAGTTACAGCAATTGCGGCTTAGCAGTGAAAGCCGTACTCGCAGCTCCACGATCAGCGCTCCAACGTCTCACCACAAACCATCGAACTCTGCTGGATATATCGGGACCGCGAACACTATCAACCATGCTCATCGACTGTCTGACCGCACAGTGGTCCCTAATAACTGGCAAGAACAACCTCATGGCGAAGGTCACTATCAGCCGTTTGGCTCACACCACCGAGCGGCTTCGGACTCCTCCCGCCACCGTCTGGAGACCATGCATGAGTCTGACGGCCGCTCTGATGATGGCAATTCATTGTGGTGTGAGATTTGCGAAACCGGCGGTCACGATATCTTGAGCTGCACAAACATCCTTGGTGCCGAACCCAAAAACGAGCATGTACTCCGCGTTGAGCAGTCACACCACGAGGGTTCCGCGGACGGCAAGTCGACCCCCGGGACTTCCATCGCCGGAGAATCGTTACCTTCGAAGGA